ATATATATATATTAAATATGAATATATGTATTAAACATGCTCACATAAAATATATAATGTATTTATGTTTTATATTAAACGTACTAAATATATTTACATTTCTAATTAAATATATCAAACGTATTAAACAATTGCATCACAAACCGCCATTAACAGCATCAGGTGGTCCAAGTGTCCTTCCACCAGACTGACCTCCGCTCCATCCACGTTTTAAAGGATGAAGTTTCAATCGTTTTGGTTTTGTTAAAGGTTGTATTTTCAGATCAGTACTTTCTTGTTCTTGTTCTGTAAGACGTCTTTGTTGAAGTGTAAAATCTCCTTGTACAATTGGGACAGTCAGTCCAGGAAACAGCATTCCTACTTTTCCATGACCAATCTTTTGACCTCGGTTTAAATCTCTTGCCTTTACAATACCCTTGGCTCTTCCTCTCCTCTTACCAGCATTACTGACACTTGTTACAGATTTCCATAATTGTGTAGCTGGCTCTAAATACAAAGGATATCAATATTCGAATAGAATTCAACAGATCCTTTTCAAACCATAAGTTGTAACAAAGTACTCACTTACTTTTTGTAAAGAAGCTGGTATTCCTTATACTTTGTAATGACAAAGTTTGCGGTGACAATAAACCAACGGTGATGGCTGAAGAAAAGTAATTTACACGTTAAATTACATCGTTAACTTAAAACTGAATAAGATTAATGGGATCAAGCAGGCAAAAATTTTATTTTTAGGTTATAAAACTAAAACAAGCAGTTTACAAACAAATAAAGTTTTGGAGAAAATATGTGTGAGAAATTTCTCATGTAAATTACCATGGCTTACGATGCTGGTATTTTTTATAGAATTTGCAATTAATTTGGAAGAATGAAATATCCAACTTGCCATTTTAACATAAAATCTACCAGAGTGATATTGCTTGATTGTTCAGAGAATGGATCAGAGATGTCGCTTCGACAGTGTGAGCTGATAGAACATTATGTACCTGTGTAGCGAAAAGCTAGTTTTGTTATTGAAAAATCCCAAAATTAACAAACTATTGGGATTTTAAGGTTTCAATATCATCCGATAATTTTGATAAAAAGGCCGTTAAATATCAAGATTACAAGCACAAGTTCCTTGTAGGTTAAGTTAATTTACTTCAACTTGCCCAGTTAACTTGAAATATAAATTACTTGAGTGTTTTAACTTGACAAGCCAACTTGAAATATAACTTGTAAGTTACTTACAAGTTAAGTTGAAATACATAGTACTTTTACATTACTTTTAAGGCGGATAACTTAACTTTCTGAGTTAAACGAGGAAGAAAAAAAAAACCCAATATTGTAATTTCAATTTCGCGAGAAAATTTTAAACACGAGAGAGAACGCGTCGCTAGCGACGCCGTGCATCGCAGCGGACAAACCATGCGGTAATAACGATCAATGGGGGTTGCAGGGCCGCATTACAGGCCCCGATAAGGTCGGTAAAGTCGTCGCAGCCAGCCAGAAGGAAAATTCGAACGAGATACGTGCCACAGGGCGCGGTGAAATTTCCCCTTCTCCCCAAGG